GAACATTAGTCGGAGGTCTGTTTAGCAATCGTGATTTAGAACATAATATATAAGTTTGAGAGATAATTGAATAATAAATACCAATAAACAAAATAAAAATACTAATTTTATAAAAATAAATATAACAAAAATGTATAAATTAATCACATTTTCAAAACAAATATATTCATAATAAATATAAATTTTGAAATAAATTAATGTTTTACTATAAAATATTTGATATATCTATATAAGTTTTTTACTCATAATTTTTTTTTATGTGGGACCCGAATATATCAATCCCTCCTTGTTGACTAATTTGTTTGGACTCTATTTTTTTTTTCCACTGAATAATATTATATAGAAAGATGACTTTACAGATGAAAACAACGAAAGCAAAACCCGAAAGTTTACCGGGTAGCGTAGCCTGAAAGATTACCGGGAGCGTAGCCCGAAAGTTTAACGGGGAGCTTACTATGATTAAAAAAAACTACCACTAAATAAGGTACTAATTACCTGTAAAAAGTGCTAAAAACCAAACATAGCAACTCGAAATAGCCAAGCCAACTCCACTAACTTACACAGGACTCTTGCATAAACCAACGATAACAAACAGGGCGGAAGATGGAGCGAGCTGCAGAACCTTGAGACACACAACCAACAAGGGCTGAGGTTAAGGGAAGAACCAACCTCGGAAGACAACCATACCATAGAAACAGGATGAAGATTACACCATCTTTAAGACACGAGGCTCCAAAGCGCATCGACACTTCTTCACTGATACTCTACCCATTACCACTCAATGACATCATCTAGAAGAGATGACCATCTAGGGCACGCTGAAGAAATGCATCCCGATGAAGAGTTGGAAAATCCGGTACAAAGAAAACGAGCCCAATGGGAGGGGAAATTTGCCTAAAAAGAATCTTCATCACCAAAGAGAAGCCAACCAAAACGCCAACAGCTCCACGCCACTTCACCAAGGAAGAGCCAACGACCAAACAGAGAGGAAAGGCTAAAAGAATCACACATGCTCGACTACACTAATCACAAAAACCAGACCAAAACACCCGAACCCTTAAACTCTAGTCATACCGATGGCAAAAACCGAACAAGGAAGGCAAGACCTAGTCATAAAAGGGGACATCAAAACCAGCAGAAACAAATAAGCACAAGACAATTCTAAGAAGATCCGACCAAAGGGAGCTAAAACGTCTCTGAATCGCAGAACCGACCAAAGCGACCTACACGAACCAGACCGAAGGCTGACCCATCTTCATGCCATCACCAAAATTCCACCGGAGCCAGAGACCCCAATATGATGCAGAATAAAGCACTCCCTTCTTCAATCACCGAAAAGATCAGATCTGCTAAACCAAAGACGAAACACAACTATAACAGAAGAAAGAAACTAAAAGCGGAAACATGTATCAGGTGAAATTATTGATACAGTTTCTAAAAAATCCTTTCTTTCATGTTTCAGAGCTCGTGAAATCCAAACATCCAACAATTACATGCGCCGACATGTATCAGGTGATAAAATCACTCTATTTGGTTCATTAGCATCTCCACACACTCACTTGTAGATCATTATGCTTATGTTGTCTCTATCTAATCCCAAACTCTTTCTTCCACTGTTTATTGAATTACTCATGAGAAATACATGTATCTTGTGTGTTGTTTCTTTTTCATTTATCTAAGATTGTGATGAATCTTTGTCTCGTGTTTTGAGCAAATATTGTACATTTCTTAGACATGTTCCTTCACTTTTAATGTGTTTTGTGTTTATTGTTCATTCCTTATGAGCATTTTTGGTAGATTAACGGTGCAATTTGAATAATTCTTCTATGTATTTTGTTTTAGCTTGTTGGAGTGGTAGTTGTGCATGTTGTTGGTGAAGACGTCACTTCGTTAGATTATCTTCTCTTCCATTATAAACAGCTTACCAGGGAAGCACCTTGGAACTACGAATTAGGCAAATAGCAAAAGGTTGACCTTGTTTCTCATCACATGACCAGGAAGTGTGTTCTCCAGTCCTCTTAGGCTATACCACTTAACCTCAAGGAACTTTACATGGTGCTCTACAATCCTTCTAGATTATCATCGTGGTATACTACCCTTTGTTCTATTTAATAAATGTTATTTATCGCTTCCCTCATTAACAGATGAATAAGCAGCTCGGTATCCTCCTCAACACCTATGCACCTGCCCTGAAACACTGTTTCACCTCGAAAGACGTCTTGGTGGCGTTGCAAATTTTCTATGGCAAAATCTGCCAAGTCCCCAGCTGGAGAAGTCAAACCAACCATTTTTGTAATAGCAACAACAACACCTAGACCATCTCGATCTCTGACCCGAATGACAGTATCCCCAATGTCAAATAGCCTTGCTACAAATGTCAAGTCCTCCTTTACAAGGCGAAGAGGCTCCATATGAGAAAGTGAAAGGACAGAGTAACAGTCCGAGGACACAATTCCAAAGGTCTGGGTATAGATTTTTTTACGATGTATCCATCAAATATCTCCTTAGGATTCTGATATGGTTCGACTAGTTTGTAACCAAGATCTGCAAAAGCTTTTTTGAATGCATTGGCATCCTGTGACCAAAAAATTTCAGCATCAGTGACAGAACTGAAGACAGAGAACTGAATTGAATGTCTGAAAAGAGAAAGGAGAGAAACCATACTCTCTTGCCAGAAAAAAAACTCAATGTGGTCTCCACCAGCAGCTTGCACAACTACAACACTAGCGAGCTACAACAAAAGACATAATAGAGTGAATTATTCCAGATTGCACCATTGATCTACCAAACAAAGCCCATAAGGAATGAAAAACATACACAAAATACACTAAAAGTGAGGGAAGATGTTTTAGAAGTGAAACAATGTTTGCTCAAAACACGAGACAAACATTCATCACAGTTTTAGAGCAGAGTGATTATGCACCTGATACAGATCAGCGTATGTGATTGTGGGGTATTTGGATTTCACTGTTTCTGAAACAAGAAATAAGATTCCTGAGAAATTGTCAATAATCTCACATAAATCATTCCACAAATGCTAAACCTAGATCTAGATCCTAAAGCATGGGAAAAGAAGAACAAATGCACCACAAATTTTGACTGCTTTTTTCAACCCAGTGCTAAGAGCATACCGTTTCCGTCCTTCGGAGCATCGATGCATCTTCCAAAATAGGATGAAAAAATGATAAGGAACAGAGGATCTACTGATATTTCAACTCCAAACAGAAAAATCCAAGCAAGTGTATAGAT